ATGCTCATCCCCGTTTCCAAGCGATGGGAGCTCACTCCATTGTGTGGATCTGATCTTACAACTGCTGGTCTTCTGGACTTGCAGCACAGAAGCTTCTGTGGTTTAATCCACAGTGCCCCCACATGCCTAAAGGGGCATATGTTTTCTAAGGATGCAGGCAGTTCTCCTCCTTTGGGAATTCTAACTTGTCTGCAAGCTGTTCTGAGGTTACATTTCAATAGGAAATTAGGTAGACACGATATTCGTGGTCGGCTGATATACCACAGCCTAGCTTCAAAGTGGAGCACTATGACAGAGTCTAGTGACACCAAGTTCAGTGACAACAGCAAAGCTTTTCTATGTTTTAAAGGAGAGGTCCCCAACCCCCTAGTCCACGACTCATTGTCAGTCCGTGGCCTGAGCCGGATCGGGCCGCGGAGACAGACCTCCTTTATGCACTCACCCCTGCACAGAGAAGAGTCTTTTCCAAATTTTGTTCCTTGATTCCTGATGACTAGCTGAGAAAGTGAAGGGAGACCATGTGATGGATGAGCTGGGTCTGGGAAGAGCAGGGACACCGATCTCTTGTACCAGTTAAGAGACTAAAGTCAGGGGAAGGGAGGCTGCTTCATGGGCAATGGCCTCAGAATAATGAGCGAGTAAGGGGAGGAAGGAAAGCGCTGAGAGGCATGTATTATCCCATTATGGTTTATGCAGGCCAAATATAGAACATAGAAGATCTTAGAACCTAGATTGTGATATGCAAGACAATGGGACTGTATATTCGTGAAGGCTTTCATACATCAAAGGGGTCATGGACCGCATTGGGAAACTTTTGAAAAAACCCACCCTACAAACAGTATTCAAGCCTACCACAAAAATACAACAAATGTTACGGTCAGCAAAGGACAGAAAGGACCACCGCAGGAGTATACCGGATACGTTGCAGTTGTGGACAGGTATATATCGGAACCACAAAACGAAGCATCCACTCCAGAATCAAAGAACATGAGAGACACTGCAGACTAAAACAACCAGAAAAATCTACAGTAGCTGAACATGCCCTAAAACAAACTGGACATGAAATTCTGTTTCAAAATACTGAAATACTAGACAACACCAGCAATCATTACGTCAGACTGCACAGGGAAGCCATTGAAATCCACAAGCACAAGCACAGTTTCAACAAAAAAGAGGAAAGTATGAAGCTCAACAAAACTTGGCTCCCAGCTATCAAACATACTACGTGCAAAAGGTCAACGAACTCTACCCACCCACAAGGACAGGGGATCACTACACACAAAAGACCAGCTAATGACACCCATCAACCACAGGAATAGATAATATCTTCCCCTTAGCACAACAATACCCCCACAACAATACACACTAATCACCCATCTACAGAAAAAGACAAAAGCCTATCTCACAGCCGTAAATACTGCACTCCCAAGCCAACTACACCAGAGCACAGGTTGCTGTCCTCTGAAGATGCCAGCCACAGAGACTGGCAAAACGTCAGGAAGAACAACCTTCATAACACAGCCAAAGAGCCTGAAAAACCCAGAACAACCAATGGGACTGTGTTGTTTTTCTTACACAAAAAGATCAGAAAACTCTCATTGCTCCTGAGCAAAAGTTTTTCAAAGGTGCTTTTGTTTCATGTAATACAATACCCCATATAAAAATGACAACTCCTAATCTTACTGTTACGTGATCAAATACCGACAACTATTTTAAAGCCTTTCCTAGCTGAGTAGCAGGCCCTGTTTGTATGATTCAAATATGCCTTTGTGAAAAGCCAGAATAAAGAAGATGCAATTTTGGGGGGGATTTTTTTTAAAAAGTTCTCATTTCAAGATTGATCCTTCAGATGTTTGGGGCTGGTATAGTGTGAGTTCTATATTCACATGATTTAATGTTGTCTCTCTTACAAGAAAGAGGGAGTTCAAGGCATTTGGGGAATGTAAAAAGTGCTTAACAGTGGTAATCTGTTTCTCTTAAGTGTATGCAGCCTGAACAAGTAACAAAGGAGAAGAAAAAACTAGCAAGCAGTCACTGCCAGTTCTGTAACAGAATTGTCCAGTCTTTCAGTATCTAGGGTTCAAACTCTTATTTTTAAATCCTCTTTCACTGAATCAAATGCTACTGGTTCATGCATGTGTGAGAGCCATTACATTGAGCTAAAGGTCACCTCAAAGTGTAGTCACATTGCCTGTTTGTATCTAGGAACCATACTAAGCTTTCTTTCTGCTCTGCAATACCCATTTTCTGGTTTATTTTTCAGCCGAAATGTCTTTGAACTAAGGCCTGGCTTGCATATTGCTTTTTGGCATGTCCAAAGTGTCACTTCAGTTTTCATGGGCTAAAAATAAATTACAGATGGTGAGAGCTGGCATTCGTCTGTTAACTGGCTTACGCAGGAGCAGTAGATGCCAGTTCCCACTATGTCAGAGTGCAGTTAATGAAAATGGCCATCAAATGAAGTTAGCAGTGGACTTTAAGTCCCACAGTACCGTTTCACTAACTCTGGAAATAGCAACTTTCAAAAGGATGCATATCGGTGATACGTGCAATAACTGCAAGGTGGACAGGTATTATCATGCTCATATTATGGATATGAGGTTAAGACTAATTTGTTTAAAGAGAAACCAAGGTGAAATTTGAACTGGAGACTCCAACACTCATTGTCGTTTGCTTTTGTTTTGTTTTCTTCAACAGCTCTTTCTAGCCAGATGCCTATTTGTGGTTTTGGCCTATGGAATTCTGGGAACTGTAGTCCAAAAACAAAAAAACAAACAAACAAACCCACAAATAAGCGCACCTGTCATTCTTGCTGTTAACCACTTCACTCACACTCAGGAGCCATACATCCTATGTACCAAAACAGTATTTTAAAGAACTGTACACAAATTCTACTATTTTAACTAGCTATACACACGGGATGTCTGCTTGTGGTTTATTTAAGACACACAGAGTCACAGACACACACAACCTGAGACAAGAGAGGCTATGCAAGTGCTAAAGATGAGTAAGGTTGCGACCATACTGGCAAGCTGAATCAAAGAGATTCATCTTTGCCGGGGCTTGATTTGCAGCCTGTTTTACACAGTGATTAGGATTAGGCGATCACAGGGAGACTGCAGATGGTTTTGGTGCCAGTTTCCACACCCGACACCCTCCCCCTTCCATTGATGCCACCCTCTGCCACTCCCTGGCTCTCCTTTAAGGCTTCATTGTAAAACTGGTGAGCTGTTTAAAGTGCTGTACGATGCTAAGGAAAACGGAGAGTTTCCCAAAGTGCTTCAGAGCATACATTTCATATTGATTTTAATCTTTCCCCACCTCCATGATGAGATGAACTAATGCCAATCAAATATATCAGTACAGTGATAAGGTGACCTGGCACTAAACATGGTAGTCTGGGTTTGTTTTTATTTAACATATCTCGGGGTGACTAGTGAGAAAGATTGTGGGGATGAGTGTTTCTGCTCTCCAAAACTTCATGTCCAGGTTACTACATCAACATGATACCACCCACAGTCATACCTGCCCTCCATTTGGATAATGAATCAATTGATCGCATGGGAGGGGGGAATCCATTAGAATTGTTCTGGCTTGAAAAAAGTAGAAGCCCCCAATGGTAGAGGAAAAAAAACTCCACTTTGGAAACCAAAAAGGCCAGGTTATTCAAATTGGCCATTGCGTCATGTGATCAATTTTAAAAACCCCGAATACATCCCCTTTTACTTCTGCAGTAAATTTATTTATTTATTCATTTATTTGACTTTTATACAGTAGCACCCATCTGGCTGTCAAGACCACTCTGGAGGGTTTACACATTGATCAAATATAACATCAAACAACATTTTTTAAAAAAAAAACCAAA